AAAGATAATGATGGTTTGAATTTAGGAGATTTCCAATTTCTTACTTTAAAAATTATATTTCTTTTAAAAATTTCATTGATAGTATTTTTTTCTGAATTAGTCTTTGTACAATTCAGAAAACAAAACAAATATTGTATAAAACAAATACTGTACTCTCTCTCTTCAATGTCAATCTCAGTTTTGATCACTGTTAACAAGATTTTCCTAAAACAGATTTGACCTGCTAAGGTGTCCTTAGCTTCAGTATTCGCTTGACTGCCTTACACTAACTTCAGTAAACCTTTCCAGAGGACAGATTAAATAACCACTTACTTGTTTCTAACTGTAATTAAAACAGCTCACAAAACTAAGCACATAGTATAGCTCCCCTTTTTCATTTGGCTAACTTATTTGTTAAGAATTAATTTTAGGTTGGGCTTGGTGGCTCATGTCTGTGATCCCAGGACTTTGGGAGGCTGAGGCAAAAGGATCACTTCAGGCCAGGAGTTGTAGACTAGCCTAGGAAACATAGTAAGACTCTGTTTCTGCAAAAATTTAACAAATAAAAAAAAGCAGCCAGATGTGGTGACATATACCTATGGTCCTAGCTACTGAGAAGGCTGAGCAGGAGGATGACTTGAGCTCATGAGTTCAAGGTCACCATGAGCTATAATGGTGCCACTGCATTCCAGCCTGGGTGACAGAGTGAAATTTTTGTCTCCAGAAATAATAATAATAAATTAAAAGAAAAAAAAAAGAATTCCGGTAGTTATCTTCTCTAGGAGTCCTTCCAGAAGTACCTATTTTGGGTTAGGTGTCCTCCCTTGTGGGCATATAGAACGCTGGGTAAGTTTTTATCAAAGCCCTAGTAATCCTGCACTGGAATTGCCTGTTCACTACACTGAAGTCTTCAAGAACAGGAAGCATCTTTTTTATTCTGTATCCCCAATGCCTAGTACATGGCTAATATGGTAACATTCATGGGTTTTTATGAATGGGAATCAATTCCAAACTCAAAGTGTGATCTTAAAAAAATAATTTTAGAGCTAGGCTTGGTAGCTCATGCCTGTAATCCCATCACTTTGGGAGGCTGAGGCAGGAAGACTGCTTGAGTCCAGGAGTTTCAGACTAGCCTGGGGAACATAGGGAGACCTCATCTCTACAAAAAATTTAAAAAATCAACTCAGGCATGGTGGCACACGCCCGAGGTCCCAGTTACTCAGCTGGCTGAAGTGGGAGGATCATTTGAGCCTGGGAGGTCAAGACTGCAGTGAGCCGGTGAGCCATGATTGTGCCATGGCACTCCAGTCTAGGTGACAGAGTGAGGCCCCATATAAAAAAAAAAAAAATTTTTTTTTTTTCAGTCTGTGAACCAATATGCAAAAGTGGTTATGCTGATGTATTTTAAAGCCTTATTATATTAGTAATTTATTAAAATGTCTTTAGATAGCCAGCTATGTACTCTATGTGCAACCTCACTAAAGATGTACACAAACAAATAGGGCCCTTTGTTTCCCTTTATTTTAACTATAAATTACTGCATACTGCTAATTACTTTAGATTTTTAAAATGCCTCTGTAACAAGAGGAAGAGGTAAAACCATTGACAGGTGGTGGCAGTGTTAACTGTACCAAAGGATACTGCCTTATTTTTTGCTTAGCATAGAAATCATGGAATCTTAGAAACAGAATGCTCTGAAACTGGATTACACCAGCTGCTTCACACTCTCCTTCTGTAAATCTGAATGAATGACCTGATGGATTTCAGGCCTTATACCATGGTTGGTTTAGATTTTAGTAGAGTTTTCAGCTTCATCTTTGAGTTCATTGACAGACTGTAATGAAATATTTCTAAAATAAAATTCTGCTAATAAAATGCACTTATAGGAAATGAGCAGAGAATGAGCCAGATATTTTACCGAAACAGGTAGTTTACCAGCAAACGTACTAAGACGCATGCAATTAATATTTCTGTTCATGTTTATAAATAAATCACACAATACAAAAATAAAGTAATGCAGATATGGTTATATAATATTCTTGCAAATTAATTTATTGTTCAAGCAAAACTCTGCTTTATATTAGTTATGAACAAATACAGGGCAAATCATTTAAGATCTAGCACAAATCTGCCAAAGTCTCCCTTTCCACTTTTACCTTATTCTTTTTGAAATATTTCATGATAAGATATCCATGCTCTCAGTAATTTCTGAGGATACTTTAACAGTGAAGATTCTAAAAAACTTCACAACAGAATTTGCAGTATAACAACTGAAACACCAAACAAGTTTTGTGATTTTTCTGCTATGTTTTACAGTAGCACCAAGCATAACTAAAGTAAAACTGCAACTAAATATGTAGAAAACAATTTCCCACTTTACTACTTCAATTGCCACCATTACTAGAACCAGAGTCATTTTTCTCCTTCAACCGTCCCTACCCTTTTTTCTTTTACAACAGTTGGTGTCAAATGGGGAAATGTGAGTGCTACATCTTAACCTCAAGCACGGGGAGCAGTACAAAACTGTCCCACTGAATCATATACTAAGTAAAATTGTTGGCATTTGCCCAGGCAGCAGTGAGGTCTATACCAAATATAAAGTTCTTTGGTGCAGGTTAAAGAAAAATCTTTACCTTGATCCCCAAGAATTCTAGAATCTTATATGAGAAACAAAACCAGTGAAAACTTGTAGTTTATAAGTTGTTACGTACATACTTTTAAGGGTAGGCATGGACAGAGCCAGCATTTGGGTAATCTTTCCCTTTTAAAATGTATTGGTGAATCTACTCCTGTGTCTTTATAATAAAGAATAATCCTAGTTAGATCTTGGGAAGAGAGTGGAGCAAATATTGGTAGACTAGAATAGGCAGAGCCTGATGTTCTACAATGATCCAGGCAAGCCAAATCTCCAAACTTAAATTGCTCGTGAAGTACGAAAGAGTAACTCTTAAATATTTGAAAACTTGAATGCATTGTGTCAGTTTGTTTAGCCTAAAATTACTTTCTAAATATTTATGGGCCGTTGTTTTAGACAGTCTCTTAACATATAATTTTATAAAACTTTATATAATATTATTACCAGTATTAATAATATTCCTGAAGTTATGGGTAGTCTACTTAGGCTGTGAGAACTTGAAGACCCCAACTCACTTACAGGCTAGGGGGTGAATAAACTTGAAGAAGCTCCCTCGTACAATGAAGGTTGGTGGCAACAAATAAAGGTGTCTGTTCCATTTATAAAGTTGTAAACAGGATAAGTTAGTAAAACAGGGTTAGAACAGAGAATGTACAGAGTTAGAACAAAAGAGAAGAGCTGGTAAAGAATAAGAGGTGAACATTATCAATTACATGATCTGAAGGTAACAGCATGTAAAAATTAGCAATGACATAATCAAAGCAGTGAAGTGGAAAATAATTTTAGATCTAGCCTTTGAAACATTTTATAGTGTGAAGGATGAATATTAAGAACCAGAAAGGGACAAGGACGGAACCTGAAAATTTAGAGCAGACGTTCTGCAACCACTGCCTCCTGGGTTCAAGCAATTCCCATGCCTCAGCCTCCTGAGTCGCTGCAATTACAGGCATGTGCCACCACGCCTGGCTAATTTTTGTATTTTTGGTAGAGATGGGGTTTCTCCATGTTGTCCAGGCTGATCTCGAACTCCTGACCTCAGGTGATCCACTCACTTTGGCCTCCCAAACTTCTGAGATTACAAGTGTGAGCCACTGTGCCTGTCCTATAGCAGAGGTTCTTAACCTCACATGACATAATCATACTTCTGGGGTTCGCAACTCCCTGAAATCTGTGTGAAACATGCATGTGCATTTTTTGGGAAAGAGAATACGTAACTTTTAGCACATAATCAGATTTACACCGTATTCAAAGATGAATGATAAAATGGTAAAATACAATGACCAGCAAAATAAAATGTCTCAATTTTAAGTACTGCACATATTAGAATAATGTATATAGTTAATGAAGTTTAAACAGCTGAGATTGAATATCTGAATTCCTTTTTGATATCCAACAGTTAAGGTGTCTTTTAAAATTTAAAAGAAAAGAGATTCCCCAACATGACTAAGTATGAAATGTAAAGTCTATTAATGCCAGGTCATCTAAAAATGTCACCATCACCAGCTAAAGCAGACTAATTAAAATGAAGAATACACAAAACTGCTGTCTAGCATGAATAAAACAAAGAACTACAGGAAATCACTGCTACACAAAATTTTTGAATAAAAGCTTGGTCTGTAACAAAATCTTACATGCATATCTGCATAATTCTGATTTTTGTTTTCACTATACCCTTTCCCCGATGTGGCAATAAAGCCACTGCAGGCTGCCTTCCCCTGCTCTATATAAGAAAGCGGCCATCACATTAAGTATGATAAATACTTATAGCCATTAGTAGAGAAACAACTAAAGAGAAATATGGGTAACAAGAGACTGGAGAGCTAGGAGACAGGGGCAGGGGCCAGTCTCCAAAAGGGCCTGGATGGCGCACTTTCCCTCTAATGACATGATTTGGAACTACCACAATCATTTCTTAGCTTCAGCACTAATAGCTTTATTTCTATTAAAAAAAAAAAAACCTACCTACTCAAGATCCAACAGCCAAAACTTTAATAGTAACTAGTCTTCTCAAGTCATCATAGGAAGACGGTTTTTACAAGTTTCCTTTTGACTTTTCCCCTAATTTTTCTCTAATATACATGTATTTCAATAAGAAAAAAGCCAACATAAGTAATTTTGAAAAAAGAATTGAGAAACAAGCAACATCTCTAGCCCCCTTCCTGACATATGCCAAGGAATTTCAGTAATCATAATAAAAAATTATTTCTTCAGTGTTTCAGGAAGCAATCTTTTCATGACTATAATTTAAGATGGATTTAGGCACTGTCTAATGGTCAAGTTTACTAATGAAATACAAAGCACTAATTTATAAACAAAAAGGCTGGGCTAGGCATGGTGGCTTGTGCCTGTAGTCCTAGCCACTTGAGAGACTGAGGAGGGAGGTCGGCTTGGGTCTAGGAGTTGGAGGTCGCCTTGAGCTATGATCGCACCACTATGCTTCAGCCTAGGTGACAGAGCAAGACCTTGTCCCTGAAAGTACAAGATAAAAACAAAAAAGTTGCAGTATTAAATAAATAAACAAGCTCCAATCACTCATAAAAGGTGATCAGTCAGTAATAAGTTTTTTAAAAAAGAAAAATGTGTCTCTGGAACATATACTACTGATTGTCTTCTTTGCACTGCGATGGTTTCCTAGTTAAACCCCAATGCTTCCTCAATCACTATTTTCTGGCTTGCCAATAAAGTATGTTATACTTGGTATGTCTAAGATTAAGAACTACTAGGACAGATAAATCTTTCATATATACTTCAACATATGTAGGCAGCTGGATCAGTTATCTCCTGATAATTAAATGAGCCGTTGGGAGGTGCTCAGCCGTTTATTGTTTTTTCTTTGCAGTAGGGCAGTCACAACTCCACCCATGGGGCTCCCACCAAAGCAGCGGTCAAAGCGGTACTACTCCTATCACGGAAAGAGCAGTTCCCTGACCTGGAATTCAGTCCTCCAGCATTCCAAGCATTCCAGAACTTCCCAGGACTAGGGTTGAATGGACGCAGAGGCATATTGAAAATGTGCTGATTTGAGCTGGTTTCTTAATTGGGCAATTACTACCAAGTTAAACTGAAAAGGTTTCTGTCCTTAAAACACTCAACAGTGTAATTTAATCTCTTGGATTTTGTTTTGGAGACTAGCCCTTGCTCCATCTTCTTGCTCTCCAGTGTCCTGTCACCTGTATTTAATCTCCTACGTTTTAAGAAATGTAGAAATCAACCCGTTTACAACTTCTTACTGTATATAATCTTCTAATTATATAAACTAGTGAATGAGAAGAATGACAATTCCAAACAGTAGATGTGCTGCATTATTCATATTTTGTTTTGAAACATCTGGAACAGTTTGTGGAAACACATTGTGCTTTCATATTTAAGGTTCATTTTGCCTAATTTTAAAAATGGTTTGCATTTCCAGGGTACATACAGCTAAGTGATGAGGGACTGAGGACAAAGATGCCTATGATTGTAAGGTATCAAGTTTCTCGTACATAACACAAAGCAAATAATATCCATGTGGATAAATTTAAGATTTTATAGCCACTTATTTCCTTGGAAATAAGGTGTGTGTGTAGACTTCAACTTTTACTCCATACACCACATATCTATGGAACTTTCACAGATGTCTATGAAAATTTTAGGGCCAGGCTATACTTAAAAATATGATTCATTAAATATTATTTTTATATTGAAATTACACTCTGAAAACATTTAATAATCTTATTTATGAAGAGTTATTGAGAGGATATATTTACTACTGATTTACTCTACCAACTTACCACTTTTTAAACTACACATAAAACATTTAAATTCATATACTGCTACTATCAGTGGCTTATGTTTATGCACTGTTGTAATTCATAAAACTCTAAAATTCACAGTAACAGAAGCATAATTTGTATATATTATCTACTGAAACACATGGTTTACAGGACAAGAACAAACAGTAATATTTACTCAGATTCCACTAAACAATATACATGTAAAAGAAAAGGTTAAATATGCTTTTGTTTTTATTACAATTTGTTGTTCTTTCCTCGTTGGCATCCCAGAAAAGTCACTCCATAGATTTACAGTAGGATCGTTAAGTACTGTTCTATTATACAAGGAAGGAAAGTAAGACAACCTCTCATTCATGCAGGACAAATAGTTATGCCAAAAGCACAAATTACATGTAAGTACAGGGTATAACTTTGTCATCTCTCTTTTCATAATCTAGCCATTTACACACTTTGATTTGTGACTTCCACTTAGGTTTATTAACATCAAAGCTTTGTCATCACTTACCTGTTTCTACAGACATTTTTACCTGAGGCAATAAAGTATAAAAACTTCTTTGCATTCTTGCTTTACTGTTGCAAGAAAGCTTTAGTGTTCACTGGGATTACAATGTTTCATGGTTATTAAACTTCTGTACATTGCTGTAAAGTTTACTGTCCTTGGCATACCAATTTTACATGCAATATCATTAAACCAATGCACTGCACACAAATATACTAGCAGTACACTCCAATGTTCCAATTTTACGTACTGTTAATGTCCTATTAACATCTTTTTCTTTTTCACAAAAATAATCAATACAAATTATGGTCAAACAGCTTGAAATAAAAGAAAGCTATTCCAATTTAATTTTATGATTATAGCAAATTAAAATAGATCCATCTTATTAACTACATTGTTTAAAATATTCACTGACATGTGAAAAAAAAGGGATTCTACATTTAATGAAACTGCAAATTCACTTCCTAAATTATTAAAAATATAGTTCTGTTTGTTTAAACATACTGGTCAACATTTCTTGCTTTTATTTAAAATTTGTAATCATCTCTTTTAGTCAGATTATACTCACAAAATAAAAAATGAGTTCAAAATATGAATTTAAATAGTATCAAAGAAAAGCAAACCATCTTTGGTATTCTCTATTTTAGAATTTTAATGATTTTTAAATTTAATGCCCAATATATTACCTGTATTAAACTCAAATAGCAAGGTTTATGAAAAAACATTTTTTAGGTAACAGTTTACAGCAACATTAAAAAACCCCAATTAGCTTACTCACTAGAAGAAAGCCATTAGAAGTTTGTGGCAATTGGTCCTATATTCATTGTAATTGTTCCATCTCATGGGTAAGGTTGACAGCTTTGTAAATTATTCCCTCTTCCGCTAACTATCAGGGTTACCTGCTGCAGTAGCAGATTACAGATCCCTCTGATATGCCCCGTATTTTCCTGAATCTACTGCTTTATTTTTCAGAGCAGTTCACCATCAGGTTTTTTGTTTGTTTGGTTTTTGAGATGGAGTCTTGCTCTGTCACCCAGGCTGTAGCGCAGTGGCACGATCTCAGCTCACTGCAACCTCCCACTTCCGGGTTCAAGTGATTCTCCTGCCTCAGTCTCCTGAGCAGCTGGGACTACAGGCCCATACCACCAATCCTGGCTATTTTTTTTTCTCTTTTTCTTGTAGAGAAGAGTTCTTGCTATATTGTCCAGGCTGGCCTTGAACTCCTTGCCTCAAGTAATCCTCTCACCTTGGCCTCCCAAAGTGCTGGGATTATAGGTGGGAGCCAACAAACCTGGTGTGTTACAGCATACCTTTTAGTCTTCTTTATGGCTTATGTTTATTACTCTCATTTTTCTCTCCATTTAAAAATTCTAACTTACAGTAGCATTTTTCTAAGTCACTTTAAATCTTTCCAGTACCAAGGTCGGCATAAATATACAAACATTCAAATATAGTACAGAAAAGTGATGCATTTAAGTTGGTGAGAGAAGATGCCTAATTTTGTTTTCCTAGCAGCAGCTTTTCCCAGGGGTCTTCTTCCCTCTTTCTCATCATTTGTCTGACATTTCAGAGAGTATAAGCTACTATATCCTGGGAAAATTATCTGTCATTTTGTACATCAAAGCTAAAAGCTCTCCTCTCTCAGATCAGTTAATCAAGACTTGGCTGTACCCTTTCCTCCTTTCTCCCCGTTGCCAGGGACGAGAGGAGAAGACTACCGAGTGTTCAAGGCACCGGCTTTTAGGAGACTGGTTACATATGTGGCGATTGAGTATCAAAATAAATGGGAACTCTGAGAAAATGGGAAACCATGAGTCAGCCTATAATGCCGTAGATATAAATGAATAATGAGTAAACAGTGGAGAGAAAGCCCTATAAAGCCACAAAATTATTTCCCCACAAAATACTTATTAATTAATGAGTACAAAGTACTTATTAAGTTTTCAATGAAGAAATCTGGCAGATGTCTTTTTACTATAAGATAAAAGTAATTCTAATTGTACCATTGATAGAAATCTAATTTGTGTACCTCCTAATACGATGCACTGAAAAGAACACAGTATGGCTTTAGTGGTATTTGTGACAAAAGTGCATACATCATGAGGAAACATCAACCAAACCTAAATTAAGGAACATTTTGGAAAGTAGCCACTACTCAGTCATAGGTGAAAATGCTTTAAAACTGCAAATGCAAGTAGGCATAGGAAAAATATGAATGGATTATAGATGGAAGGAAAGGCACACTGATTTTGAACTGAATTAAGCCATTTTAAGTACAGCGTTAGCTGGACACTCTTACTATTCATTCAACCACTGACTTAGTTAACAGTTGTTTATTAGGACTTACCATGAACTAGGGACTATACTAAATACTAGTAAAATGATGAATAAAAGCTAAATAGTCAAAGTACTTTAAGATGGTAGTTATAAGAACTAAAAGACAAATGTGCACTTAAAGTAGATGAAATTTCAGTGAATACTGAATCTGGATTCTACTTTTTTGATACATTCAAATAAGTGAGACTTAGAACTGCACAGTTGGAGGCATTCTGCTTTCTCTGGACATAAAGACATCCAAATCAAATTTATTAAGTAAATAATATCAAATTTAACATTTATAATTAATTCCTATAACAGAATTAACTACATAAACAATCATATAAAATTAATCTAAACATGTCAACTAAGCTTTTAGAATACAATGTTTTGCTATATTTTTTTTTGATAAAAGCCTTACATCTGAATTCCAGGCAAGTTATAGAAAAAAGAAAAATATTAAAAAGACTTAATACTTCTAAGCCAGTCTTGATAACTACTTAAAAAGACCCCAATACCATTTATTAATCTTCAAACTATCTTTAGTTTATCTGCCATAATTTGAATGCAGTGACAAAATGGTATCTTTTCTTGACCACTCAGCTTGTTCTGCCTTTCTCTTGATCCCTGGGGAAATCACTTTCTGATGTGAGGGTATGATCTCCTGTCATGTTTCTTTGAAAACAACTTTTATGGTAGTTCATCAGCTTGTGACAACATTAACTCCAATCTTTACATGGTGTTCTCCCTGTGTGTGCATCTCTATGTCTACATTTCCCCTTTTTATAAGGACACTAGTCATATTAGATCAGGGGCCAACCTATTCCATATGATCTCACATTAACTAACATCTGCAATAATCTTATTTCCAGATAAGGTCACATACTGGGCTAATAAGGGTTAAGACTTCAATGTATGAACTTTGAGGGGGATGCAACTGAACTCATTAACAGTCCACCCTCTGTTACTCCCAAATTCATGTCCTCCTCACATCCCAATGTCTCCAAAAGGTTTAATCATTCCAGCATCAACTCTAAGTCCAAAAATCTTACCAAGGCCCAAATCTTTCATTAAGATCAATTATAAGTGAAATTCTACTCCTTCTGTAAGGCTGTGAAATGAGGCAATAAATTAACTGCTTCCAAAATACAATGGTAAGAAAGGAATAGGATAGACACTCCCCTTCCAAAAGGCAGAAATTGAAAGTAAAATAAGAGGCCACAGATTCCAAGCAAGTCTGAGGTGCTCTTTGACTTATGATGAGGTTAAGTCCTGGCAAATCCATCACAAATTGAAAATACTGTTAAGTAGAAAATGCATTTAATCCACCTAACCTACCATACATCATAGCTTAGCCTAGGCTACCCTGAACATGCACAGAACACTTAACATTAAGCCTACAGTTGGGTAACACAGTACACTGTAGAGTATTGGTGTTTATCCTCACGACTGTGTGTCTGATTGGAAGATGCAGCTCACTGCTGCTACCCAGCATCGAGAAAACAGTATCACATCACATATTGCTAGCCCAGGAAATGATCAAAATTCAAAATTTGAAATATGGCTTCTACTGAATGTGTATTGCTTTCACACCACAGTAAAGTCAGACAGTCTGAATCTGATGCTTATCCTCTGGGCCCACCAGGTAGTGACCCCAACCTTAGGGTCACTCTTCCCTTTACTTGAAAGACAACAGACTAACAGCCTGTGGACTTCCGGATGTCCCACAGCCTTCTTTCATTTCATCTCTTCTCTAATCCCTTCAGCATTTCTGAGATGGGTGACTGGATCCATGAGTCACACTACATCTCTTCAGCAAACAGGTGCCCAAACACAGTCTTCTGTGTTATCTGCAGAGCATACTTTCTCATTTTCTGCAAGATGGATAGGCCAAGAATTTGTCAAAACTTTAAGTGCGGTTCCTTTTTGGGTAACGATTCCTTCTTCTCACCACTTACACTTAACTATGTACGGCAAGGAAAACGAAGGCCACGCCTTCAACACTTGGCTTAGAAACTGCCTTTCCTTTGCTAAATATCCAATTTCATCATTAACAAATGCTACTTTCAGTCTCCACCCATTACCACAAACCCAATTCCAAATCTATTTCCACATTTTTAGGTATCTGTCACAGCAGCACACCACTTCCCAGGACCAATGTCTATATTAGTCAGTGTTCTCCAAAGAGAACCAAAAGAAGATATGTATATATATCTCTCCCTCACCTCAGAGCAAGACATATACATATATATACACACATATATACATACACACACAGACACACACACACCTCCCCCCCACAAGCGGGAGAGGGAGAGAGAAGGAGAAAGAGATACTTAAGGAACTGGTTCAACTGCCGGGGCTGGCAAGTCCAAAATCCATGGGACAGGCTAGCAAGCTAGAATTTGGGTAAGAGTTGACACTGCAGTCTTGAGTCTAAAATCCGCAGGGAGGTTGGTTTCTATGATGCAGTCTAGAGGCCAAATTCCTTCTTCTTCAGGGAATCTCTGTCTTTGCTTTTAAAGCCTTCCACTGATTGGATGGGACCTACCCATATTATGGAGGGCTATCTGCCTTACTCAGTTTAGTGATTAAAATATTAATCACATTTAAAAAATACTCTCAAAGTTACATTTTGACTGGTGATTGATCATATAGCTGGGCACTATAGCCTAGCCAAGTTGACACATAGTATTAACCATCACACCGCCCTCATGACTTTCCTGCCATCATTAATGATATCTATCTTAAAAATATAAAAATTATGATTTCAACAATGTCTTATAACCTTACTGTTTTTCACAATTAAAATATCCTAAACCTCAATTCCTATACCAAATTATCAGGAATTTTATACTGAGCTAATAGTAAATAATGGCAAGTAAAATCTCCAGTGGGGAGTAGGTCAAGCTATTTTCAAACTATGGAATGTTTATCCAACTAACATTTTGAACACCTTCTAAATGCCAAGCTCTTGGTTCAGTGCTAGAGGAACAATACTAAAAAGCTCACTTTTATTGAGTTTTTAAGTTCCTTGAGGATAATAATTGCAGAAACAAAAGAGGCGAATTGGATCAGATCAACTGCCCATATATCATGAGCACTGCATATAATGCAAACATGAAAATCCTTATGGCAGAGCCAAGATGATCAACTAGAAGCAGCAGTGTTCAGAGGCTGCCGCTGAAAAAACCCATGATAAGCCTGTGAATCCTTTACCAGCAACCAAGGTATCCAGGTTCTCTCATCAAAATTGACTAGAAGGCTGGCGTGACCCATGGAGAGAAGGAAGAGCAGTGTGGTGGGACGGCCCACCTGAGAGCCACATGGGGAAGAGGAACCCCCTCCCCTCAGCCAAGGGAGGCAGTGAGACAGCATGCTACGCAGCCGGGGAAACTGTGCTTTTTCCAGGAAATGGTGCAACCGAAGACGAAGATCCCACGTGCAAACCCACACCTCAGGCCTAGCATCCCAACTCCAGAATGAGCAGATTCTTACAGCCTCTCAGCTGGAATCTGCTTAAGCCTACTGAAACCCCAGGGGGAGGGGAGACCAGACCTGTAGTCTAGGCCGTTTGAGCTCCTTGGAGGAGGGATAGCAGCCAGCACTGGGACCCGCAACTGCAAAACACTCTAAGCTCCTTGGGCGGGGGAAGGGTGGCATACACTTCGATAGCTCTGGGGCTGTGTTTCTCCCCTGCTAGAGCCAGGGAGGCTTGATGGCTTGGTCCCAAGACTTGTCCCCCAAAGCACAACACACTGGCTGTGGCAGTCTGCAGCCAGAGTGCCTCTTTAGGCCTAACCCTGACTCATCCTTCCTCATGGAGCAAGGTTTCCCTGCAGGATCTCCAGTAACTCCAGCCAGAGGCTCAGGGTCAGAATTTGGATATCCCTGGGCCTGAGCCCCTAAAGGGAGAAGTGACAGCAGTCTCTGCATACCAGCTGACTTAGCCTCTCCTCTTGGTAGTTCTGAAGAATAAGGGCAGCCCAGATTAGTGGGTTTCCCCCCAGTGAAACACTTTCTCCAAGGGACAAAATGCTTCATTAAGCGGGTCCTGCTCCCCATACCACCCAACTGGTTGAGATCCTCCAAAAAGGGTTGTCAGACACCCTATACATGAGTGATCCTACTAGCTATCAGGTTGTACTCTGGGAGGCCAAGGCGGGTAGATCACGAGGTCAGGAGTTTGAGACCAGCCTGGCCAAAATGGTGAAATCTCATCTCTACTAAAAACACAAGACCTAACACCATAAAAACCCTAGAAGAAAAGCTAGGCAAAACTATTCAGGACATAGGCATAGGCAAGGACTTCATGACTAAAACACCAAAAGCATTGGCAACAAAAGCCAAAATAGACAAATGGGATCTTATTAAACTCCAGAGCTTCTGCACAGCAAAAGAAATAATCATTAGAGTGAACTGGCAACCAAGAGAATGGGAAAAAAAATTCTGCAATCTACCCATCTGACAAAGGGCTAATATCCAGAATCTACAAAGAACTAAAACAGATTTACAAGAAAAAAACAAACAACCCCATTCAAAAGTGGGTGAAGGATATGAACAGACACTTTTCAAAAGAAGACATTTATGAGGCCAACAAACATATGAAAAAATGCTCATCATCAATGGTCATCAGAGAAATGAGAATCAAAACCACATAGAGATACCATCTCACGCCAGTTAGAATGGCGATCATTAAAAATCAGGGGACAACAGATGCGGGAGAGGATGTGGAGAAATAGGAATGCTTTTATACCGTTGGTGGGAGTGTAAAATAGTTCAACTATTGTGGAAGATAGTGTAGAGATTCCTTAAGGACCTAGAACCAGAAATACCATTTGACCCAGCAATCCCACTAATGGGTATATACCCAAAGGATTATAAATCATTCTACTATAAAGACACATGCACAGGTATGTTTATTGCAGCACTAATCACAATAGCAAAGACATGGAACCAACCCCAATGCCCATCAATAATAGACTGGATAAAGAAAATGGCACATATATGCCATGGAATACTATGCAGCCATAAAAGGGAATGAGATCAGGTTTTTTCCAGAGACATGGATGAAGTTGGAAGCTATCATCCTCAGTAAACTAACACAGGAACAGAAAACCAAACGTCACATGTTGTCACTCGTAAGTGGAAGCTGAACACTGAGAACCCATGAACACAGAGAGGGGAACAACATGCACCAGGGCCTGTTGGGGGGTGGAGAGTGAGGGGAGGGAACTTAAGAAGATGGGTCAACAGCTGCAGCAAACCACCATGGCATACATATCCCTATGTAACAAACCTGTATGTTCTGCACATGTACCCCTTTTTTTTTCTTTAGAATAAAGAAAAAACAGCTAAAGACAAAATTAGAGACTTTAATGTAAGAATAAAAACTAGAAGCTTTAAAAAAAAGAAACAAAAGAAAATCTTTAACCTGTACCATTACAAGTAGTCAACTGGCAGTTTCCCTGCTTCTTGAAACCCAGGTAAAACTCTCTAGAACTGTATACCAATTATCAATTTGTTCTCTCCCAGCTAAAATCCACACTTCTTTGCTTGGTAATACTAGAGCTAGACTCTGTAAACTCTTCTCCTTTGCCAGCTGGGACAACTCTGTTCATAGAGGGTATGGGAGTGACACTGCAAGATAGCAGAAGCAAAAAGGCACTCCTCTCAGGTCTCAGTCCACCTTTTGTTATTCAGAACTGGACCCCTCACAGACCAGCCAGAACCATTTCCAATTAGCTCTGGTGGGCAGAAACAGTGACTTCAGCTGCACCTTCAGGACACACTGGTCGGTGGCTTCCAAATAGCGTTAATGAACAGCTTCCATGGCAGCTCCAGGGGCCCTTAGGTCACACACAACCCACTAGGCTGCAGTTATTAGTTACTCCAGGGCGCCACCTCTGCAGTAGCGCCAAGCCAGGACCTCAGGCCACCTTCTCCCACCCAGCAGGTCAATACTATAGACTAGTTCCAGCCTACTCACTCCTTCCACCAATGGCAGGCTCATTCTACAGACTAGCTATGGCCTGTGCCATCTGGCAAGTTTCTTCAGCAGCAGCAGGCTTTACTTGGGATAGGCACAGCCCTTGAAAGAGGGTGAATCCCCGCTTTGGGGATGGAGGGGGGATACCTCTCCCAAGTCTTTAGTTCCTTCATGGTCCACTCTCTTCAGCCTAAAGGCAGTAGCTACTTTTTGACATCTGCTACTTCTGGACCCTGTGACTATTACTCCCTTAGTATCAATCACCTTTTACTACTTTTTTACATTAAATTTCCTTCTTGAAATTACTGATTTCTGTCTCCTCATTGGACTCTGACAGAGATATATCCTACCTTTAATTTCACAATCTATGAATATTCAAAACCCTTCCAGGAGTGTTGCTAAGAACTGAGGCAATGGAGGTACTTACATTCTCCATGTGTCCTCTTTTGATATTCACTTCCATCCAGTGATACTTCTGCTTAAACCATGGGAGCTTTGTGTAACTCTATCCAAGCACTTGTGAATTTGCTAGACTTTACTTAACATGGGCTGAAAAAAGGAGAGATCTTAAGACTATACAGTTGTCCTTCCAATTTTGTCCTTCCTTCTCCCTCTATCTTCACTCCCAGTACTCACTTCCTCCCACATTTCTTTATATGCTTCAAATTCTTCTGCTTGAATTATGCAAAGCAGCTTTCTCTCACCCCTGAAGCCTAGGTCAGCCACATTCAGGTTCTTATGGGGCTTGCTCTCTACCTCAAAACAGAGTACGTAAACCAAAACCATTCTCTCGCTAAGAGGATTTTCAGCCAATTATCAAGATATACAGCTTGTTATATTTATATCTTCAGTTGGTGTAAAATATATAACATGCATTTGATTATGATGAAAAATTAATTTATTAATAGAGTTGGTTTTTGCCATGTCAGGATTCTTTTCCTAATTTAATTGGCTTGAGGTTTACCAGCTGAAGCATCTCAGTAACTTAAGTCAAAATGTAATTAATCTTATTTAAATTCTAAAATGAATATTTGATATTTTAATGTGATATAACAAAGGACAAAAGCTGGCTATATAAATGTTAATAATCTATATTAAAAATTCAATCTTATATGTAATAACAGGTTAAATGGACCCATCTTTTAACTTCAGAGAGAAAGGTATATCTATTATTAAAACATTATACATGTCATCAATTAATTCACTTATTCAATAAATATTTACTGCACCTACTATGTGCCAGACTTTTTTCTAGACCCTTGGGACATAGCAGATTAGAGCAAAGTCTCTTATTTATTTATCTTTTCTACTGGGAATATAGCATGACATGTCTCTATGGCTCTAAGTATGTAATTAAATATATTTGGGAGAGTTAGTAGCTGATTCTAACCATTTTTAGATATTGGTTGTCTAATATTTCTATAAATGCTAAGCAAACCAAAGATGGAGAAGGTCACTTTGTTATCTAATGCCTTTTAGTTCATTCATTTAGATAAACATTTATTATGTGCCAATAGGTAACTTCGATTTTTCTAGGTACTAATAATACAGAGATGAAAAAGACAGGCCATTCTAGTAAGGGAAGACAAAATAAACAAGTAGATAAAAGAATTTCAAAGAGTGATAAGCACTGAAAGAAAAGAAAAACTGATAACTGAGAAAAGAGTTTTATGTATTTATAAATACGAATGTAAATAAACATATCAAAGAATGTTTGATGTTTTTGTATAATAAGTAATTTGGATTTATTTAGAATAAAAAATACAGCATTATAGACTGTTATGCAAAATAATTTTACTTTTTAAACTGTAGTGGAAATTTTTTTTTTTTTTTGAGACAGAGTTTTGCTCTTGGTGTCCAAACTGGAATGCCATGGAGTGATCTCAGCTCATTGCAACTTCGGCCTCCTGGGTTCAAGCGATTCTCCTGCCTCAGCTGCCCAAGTAGCTGCGATTACCAGCATGCACCACCACGCCTGGCTAATTTTGTATTTTTAGTAGAGATGGGGTTTCTCCATGTTGGTCAGGCTGGTCTCGAACTCCTGACCTCAGGAAATCTGCCTGTCTCAGCCTCCCAAAGTGCTGGGATTACAGGCATGAGCCACCAAGACTGGCTGTAGTGGAAAAACTTTCTGCTGAAAAGCAAACAACAACAACAAAAACCTGTTATGAAGTTAAAAAAAAAAAAAAACCCTAAAGTATCCAATATTATATATAATTTGGAAAGAAAATTTGGGGAATAAATGAAATATTCATGCAATTAACAAGTGAATAACAACAAATAAAATATCACTGTTGTCAACTGTGAACTGTATTGTATTTTACTTCAGCTTTGCTGTTTTTACTTTTCTTCTCCAGTTTTGAGCATTATTACAATGACTTGAAATGGTAATGGTACCAGGTGTGGTGGCTCATGCCTGTAATCCCAACACTTTGGGAGGCGAAGGCGGATGGATCACCTCAGGTCAGGAGTTTGAGACCAGCCTGACCAATGTATCTACTAAAAATACAAAAATTAGCTGGGCATGGTGGCTTGCGCCTGTAGTCCCAGCTACTAGGGAGGCTGAAGCGAGAGAATCACTTGACCGGGAGGTAGAGGTTGCAGTGAGCCGAGATCATGCCACTGTATTCCAGCCTGGGAAACATAGTAAGACTCCGTCTCAAAACAAAAACAAACAAACAAACAGAAGATAGTAATGGTTCAGAAAGCTTTACTTTTAGTCTGATCTTACATGCTGTTGAGTATCTACGTAGTGAAATGGAGGTTTGTTTTAATCAGTTTGGATTTACCGATATATTATTCTAGCTTATAATAATAAAATACAGTAATAACCACAACACAGGGGTACCCAACCCAGTAACAGTCCATGGTCTGTTAGGAACAGGGCTACGCCGTGGGAGGTGAGTGGTAGGTGAAAGAATATTACCACCTGAGCTCCACTTCCTGTCAAATCAGCAGCAGCATTAGATTCTGATAGGAGTGTGAACCTATTGTGAACTGCACTCCTATGAGAATCTAACCAATGCCTGACGATCTGAGGTGCAACAGTTACATCCTGAAACCACGCCCACCTCGGTCAGTGGAAAAATTGTCTTCCACGAAACTAGTCCCCGGTGCCAAAAACGTTGGTGACCGCTGCCCTAACAGTTTCATTATTTAAATTCCTGCAGGAAAGAAATACTTTTACCCTTGCAACTCTAAGACTCTAGCTCCTAAACCTCCTTTCTCCATTGAAATAACTTTTTATAATTTCAAAAAATATATCAAGGTTTAAGAATGCAGCTATCCTTTTATAGCAGAATGGATTGAAAAAACAAAATAAGTCTGTCTCCTCCCTTCTATTATTTTGGATTTTACGTGTCAGAGTCAAATATAACATTGTAATGGGAGTAATACTAAAATCTTAGAAAGGTTTTTGAATATTCTGTTTTTTTTTCTTTTCTTTTTTTTTTTTTTTTTGAATATTCTGTTTTAAAAGCAGCAGTTTACCTAGAAGTAACTGATGTGCTGACATGATCTAAAACAAGTTCCACTAAGAATTTCTTTGTAGGAGGCACTATTTTGTTGCCCAGGTGTAACAATACAATACATACACTTGCAATTCAGAGTCTTTATTAATTTATCTTTTAAATGTCTTTTAAATTCATCCACTAATTTAGTGATCATCAACTGTCTCCTGAATTACTGCAACAGCTCCCTAAATCTAGTTCTCAATCCACTCCCTTTACTAAAGTCCCAATACTCTTTCCAAAGGTCAAAAACAAATTTGTGATACAGTATTACATGGATTTCTTTATGCATTAAATAACACGATATGGGGGCAGGTTTAAAAAGTGCTTCCATTTTGAAGAAGTGATACTCTTGAGATGCTTATAACAACTATAATACAGCAGGAAAATATCTGAGATTTCTGTTGATGACAAAGGCAGTTACTGTAATACCACTGCAGCTTGTTGCCTACATTCATTAAATGAATTGAAAAAAACATTAAATTACATGTCAATGAAAACAAAAATGTAATCTTTTTTCTATCTAAGTTCATGGGTCCCCTAAATTCTATGCATGGATATATGGGAGTCCATGAGGATTAAGAAATGCTGCAATGGCTGCCTACTGTGCTTAAGATAAAAATTCCTGTCACATGGTTTAAGGGACACTTAATGATCTGATTCTCAGCCACTGCTCATACCCAGTTTTGAACCCCATCTTTTGCAGCTCTTACTCTGCTGTGTCAAACTCTTACTTCCAGATCTCTGTAAAGCTATTTCCTTTGTCTACAAAACTCTTCCCCTTCTCTTTGCCTAGCAAACTTGCAATCACCCTCCAGGTGTCAACCTACATAATAATTCCTTCAGGTAACTAAGAC